GGCCTGGCTGATCTTGTCCTCTGTAGATAGGTTTTGGCTCCTTTTTCTTCTTTTCGTTTATGCATCAATACTGCTGGGCAAAAACTGAGCCGGTCAGGTCTTGAAATCATCAAGTCTGATGACACTTTGGTTATGTAAGATACACGTGAAACAAATAATTTTAAGATTTCTAACACTTGAACTAAAAAATGGTTTCATCGAATAAATAACCAACGAACGCAAGATTGGTTTTATCAAATAACCAAATAGCGCAACATTGGTTATATCAAATAACCACATAACGCAAGATTGGATTTATCAAATAACCAAAGTAACGCAAGATTGGTTTTATTGAATAACCAATGGTTGTAATGAAATTATCATAAATAAAAGAACACATCACGTCAAAAACGACCAAAAGCGAAATAAATAATGAATTTACAAACGGCGCCCCATACACGTCGCAGTTTTCTCCGTTAACATTTTAAGCAGGTCACGCAAAGGAATAGGACGTGACTTCTGCTAACCTGACACTTCTCTCTCTTTTAGGCTAAAATCTTACTCTTTTCTTTACAATGATATATGTAACTCTCTTGCCTATAATTCTGCGAAGAGGAAACAGGAAGTCATAATAAAGCACTACACAGAAACCCACGCGCATATTAAATTGAAAGCGGAGTACTTATCCTCGCTTTAGTCTGAAGAGAACTATTGAAAGTTTCACCTATGCTGGAGCGAGATGTTTCGTTATACACTTTGCTAAATACCTATGAGTGCATTGAACGAGTTTTAAGCATAATTATGTCAAGTTTCGGCGTCGTTCTACAAAAAGAATTCCCCATGGAAACGAATGAAGACAACAATTTACCAAGCCGATCTACAATTGTTTCGTTGTTCACTAAAATTCACATGAACCGAAATATTACAACTTTCCAAATTCTAGAAACAACATAACATCGAGTGCAACTTTACATTTCGGGGATGTTAGAATTATTCGTGCGGCTCAATTGTATCATGTTGGACTTTACAGAGATGGAATATTTGAAGCGATAAGAATAACCAGTTGTCAAAGACGCTTACCTCTCGTAAAAGGACAACAGGAACTGAATTCAAAGCTTGCTGATCACTAACAATTTAAAAGTGGCGACGGGTAGCATATCTCATCAAATGTATATCGACAATGTTTAGCGGCATTACATCTACAACGGAATAAGCAAATCATCCAAAATGAAGGCGCTGGGCCCAGTAACAAGAAAGCCTCGATTGTTGTCTCTCTCAAGTGTGGTCTTTATGAAGAACGTGGGCTCCTGTTCCAAATATCAGCAGGTTATAGAGATCATTTCCCCCTCAAGAGATTACAATAACCACTTTATAATCTTGTTTCCCCTCAAGACATCGTGCTTTTTACCGATTTCCTTCCCTTTGGCAATTCTCTTTTTTTTTTTCCTTCGTGTCCCCAATTTGTTCTTCAACCTTGTTCTTGATGCACTCGTCGGATAAAAATGATATGAGACTATATGGACAGTGGGTTACCCCATCTATCTGGGGTCTCCCACCTTCTTGTAAACCGCAGACCTCTAGAGTGTTCCTCTCCCTCTAACGGTAAACTTTCTTCACCAATTTCCTGAGAGCGGAAACCGCATGAAATTTGAATCTATACATAGCAGTATGATAAGACCAAGAGAATGTTATATTATTTTGATTAGACTGACTAAACAGTGTGTAGCCCACCAGCGAAGATGCGCCTTGTCCTATCATGCACGGAGTTGGTTTCAAGGGATTGATAGAGTAGTTCGAAGGAGTAGATTTTTTAGAGGAGAAAAGATGACACGAATAAAGCATAATAAAGCGGTCAAATGTTAACAAGCTTCTTTCAGTATCATATTGATGTTTGACCACGGAGATTTTCAAAGTCAAACAACTTTGCAGTTTGGCCAAAGGTTTTCGCCAAAATCGCCACTTGCTCGCTATTATCCATCTTATAATTAACA